AATATAAAAAACGAAATTATGCAATCATATAATGATCCATATAATTATTCACATTATAAAAGTAGTTTTATTCCATCTAATATTGATTATAAAGGTAATTATATAAATTTAGTTTTTAATAAATTATATTATTCTATAGTATATTATAGCATTATTTAATAATTCTTTTTATAGATACTAAATTACATGATTTGGAAATACCCGATATTATTGATTAATAAAAGCAACTCGCCTAATTTTGGAACAGAAAATATGACAGTATATTATTTTTTACTAATAAATTTGGCCAAAATGTAATAAAATGTTATAAAAGAATCGTACATTCTATTATTTATTTAACATTCTCATCTGATAGGTAGATCTTCTTTTATATTGATATAAATTCTTGTATATATCTTGTATTAGATTTTGAATAAGCAGTTTTTAAAAGGTTCTTATTATTGTGGCATTGATTAGTAAAGATCTAAGTGTGCAAACAAATATTCTGTTTTCTTTGTTATAGTATCATTATTATAACACCAAACTATTACAGAGTTTTCATTATATTTTATTTTATTTATAAATATATAATTTATACAACTATAATATATATAAATTTTTATTATTTGTAATATTACAAATTTTACTTAAATTTTAACAATTATTAGCCTATATAATTTACTATATTTCATTTTATTGATTAAATAATTGAAAATAATCTAGCTTAATCATTAACTTACGTTCAAAATCGGTTTGTCTCAAATCGATTAATCGAATATTAAAGATAAGTGAAAGTATACAGTATAAGAGTTTAAGGTAAATCAGGAAAAATACCATATAATTTTGCCCTTTCTGCAGATGCGACATTCGCTCTGTTATACCAAACCCACTCTTCCTGTCAAATTAAAAGAAAAAAATAGCAATTTAAAATAATTAGAAGATAGAAACAGTTTGGTCAGTAGCCAATACTATAGCATTGCAAAAAAAAAAAAAACTTGCATTATTATTTATTTTTATTCTTTTATTGAAAACTAATTTACGAAGATGAATCATTATAAAAAATTTTTTCGAAGCAACGTTTTAAACATAGATTATTCTTGTAGATTCATTGCCCAATCTATTTCTTTTGACTGAAATAATAAAATAGGCTGTGGAAGGACTTGTTATTAGTTTCAATAATTTTGTTATCAAATTTAGAACTTCGACGCTTATTCTATTAGGAATCAGAACCTCAACATTTTAAATATATTGGAAATGAAAGTAAAAAAAATTTCTTTGCCACTCATTGTTGGAAAGAAAAAAGTTCCATATATTTTTATTTTTAGTTAATCGGTTTTAATCAGCTGAGAACGTAATATAAACTATTATGGACTGAGGGCTGGAAATCATTCGTTACCGTCTTTTCAGAAACTGATCCATCACTACGTATTAAACGCGAAATATAATTAAGTTCGCACTAACTAGCGACAAGATATTGAAACCCGTTCTAAAATTCAATAAATATCTACCTTTATTATTAGTTCAATTATGTAAACTAAAAGAGCATAAGAGAATAAAGTTTAAATGTAGCTGTAATAATTGTATATCGAGATACGAAATATACACATGTACCATTTGTGATATGCTATCAGAAGGACATTACACAATGGAATAATCATATATTAGAAATTATTCATACGTATTAATTCTATTTTTTTAATCAAGGCTCACTCGCATATGTTTAGATAAAAGTTTTATAACATGAAATAAATGATTACACAACAAACTACTATTAATACCCAAAACAATCCACACACGATACAAAGATATTTCCAGCGACTAATTTCACCTCTTGGTATTCCTTCAGAATAATCTTCAAGATATAAATCATTATCATTTTGATTGTTAAAGCTTATATTTTCACCTTCTGGGGTAAAAAGTTTGGCTATTTTAGTATTTTCTTCTTTTACACTATCAGACTCACTAGGTTGATTAGTTCGGTTCACATGACGTGATTGTCTTCCACTTTCTAAAGATTTTAAGGTAGACATAAGAACATACAAAAAGTTTATTTTTCAAAAAGATTTAAGAGCGAGCGTGGCTTATTCTTGTTCAATATTTCTGTATTTAAGAATGTGTAGCTCATTAAGTGGGCTGATTGTTTTCTAGTGATAAACATTCTCAAAACGTTATAACTAATGAATCCTACAAGTAGGCTTATTATTTGATACAAAATACAGTTAAACTTAAAAATGCGTATATTTGTCATTGAATGTTACAAGTTACAACTGATATAACATCTTAGCACGGTGATTTTAGAAATCAACTTAAAGATAACGATAATAAATTCATGAAATACTGTATGAGAACATTGATAATTTATTAAAGAATTACAACTTAAAGTAATATATGAAAATGTGATTGAATTCTTTTTGAAATATTCAAAGATTCCTTCATATAATGGAGTGAATATAATTCCACGTAAAGGGAGAAATTACGTTTCCAATCATGTGAAATCATACTTCAATTATAACAAAAACGCAATTTTTATTTTCATAAACCGTCTATTAGTTTATGATAAAATTATCTACGATTTGAAGACAACAACTTAAATATATCACCAACTATTATATTTTTAATTTTTTATAAACGTAATCTCGAAAGATATCAGAAATACTGTAAATATCAGTGATGGCAAATTAACAATTATTTAGTTGAATATCATAAAAATGTCATTTTTGTCATAAAAATACGATTATTTGATATGATTTTATTATGATAAAATTTACGAGTCATTTATTTGTCATAAACAAGTCATATTTGTCATTTTGCCATCACTGGTAAATATATTGTGACTGATACGATCAAAGCTATTGGGTATTTGATACTCAGAAAGCAACTCTGAGGATGCACACTGACTTGTGAATAATGAGAAAGTGACAGAACATTAAGTTAGATTTTAACAAATAATTTTGAGTCTGAAAATATTATTTTCATGGACTGTCTACCATACGCTTTTATAACAAAGAACAATATGGTTATACGAATAATAAATAATAATTCTGCTAATCGATAATTAAAAAAAA